CACACACACACACACACACACACACACACACACACACACACACACACACACACACCACAGGCTGTTCTCCAAAATAAAATGAGGACCAGATGTTCTGGAAAAAGCAGAAATTCAGACCCACGTAGACTCAGATCACAGCTCAGAACAATTGTTCACATAAAGTTAGACTGGACCAGGACCAGGACCAAGACCAGGACCAGAACCAGGACCAGAACCATGGATCAAGACCATAGATCATGGACCAGGACCAAGGTTTGGGTCTGAAACTGGTCCAGTAAATCATTTGTTCTGATCTGCTGTCTCTTCTGGTTTACCTGTCTGACCTTTGACCCCGTCTTACCTGCTGCTGTGTAGCCAATCAGGAGGAGGAGGAGGAGGAGCCTGGAGCTGGAGGAGCTGGAGGAAGGAACCATGATGAAGAACAGCTGAAGGTCCGGTTCTTCAGAATTAAATAAAAATTATTTTCCTTGTTTCTCCTTTCTCTGGACTTCCTGGACCTGCTGGACCTCCTGGACCTGCTGGACTTCCTGGATCTCCTGGACTCAGCTGATCCCAGTTTCTTCAGGAAAATCTTCTGACAGAACAGAAAACAAGAGAGTGGGACTGAGTGGGACCAGCTGGGGCGGGGCCAGGGGGACAGGACTGGGAGGGACTGCATCTGCTGGCTGTGTAGCAGGAACATCTGGTTCTGTTCATGTTTGTTTGTTTGTTTACTGATGTGTTCAGGCTGTAAACAAACATGTTGACACACATGAAGGATGTTTCAGACAGTTTGAAGTGTGCAGAACACCTGAAGCAGCTCCTGAACTCATAAAGTTTTATTTGAAGTGAACAGGAAGTGATGTCACCTCATGATGACGCTCATGTGAGTCTGTTTCAGTAAACCTCAGCTAATGCTAATGCTAATGCTAACCTTTAAGGGTTGCTCCACATGTCAGTATCTTACCTGGATCAGAACTAACCTGGATCAGAACTAACCTGGATCAGAACTAACCTGGATCAGAACTAACCTGGATCAGAACTAACCTGGATCAGAACTAACC